CCCCAAAACCCCAAAACCCCAAAACCCCAAAACCCCAAAACCCCTGAAATTTTTTGAACAGTTGAAAATTGATTTTTTAGGAAAAATAAGTAATGATTTTGTGTAAGGGGAGATTTTGACTGGGGATTTGGGAAGTGAGGGATGGGGGAGGCTGGGCTGTGGTTGAGAGAGGGGCGAGTTGGAGGAAATTAGTGGTGAAGAGGAATTTGTGGTCACAGAAGAGGGAGAGCATTAGTTCTGACCGAGTGGGGTTAGTGGTTATTACTCATAAGGTTATGTAGATTAGTGGGTCGTGAGATGTGTGTAGTTCAGGGTCTTCGAGGATGTTGTTTCTGATTTTTAGTTCATCTATGTAGATATTTGAGTATTTTCCACTATAAATATCCCTGAGATCCTCAATAAACATTTTGTAGCCAAACAAGTTGTTTGATCATATATTTATCAAAGTTTTCATATGAATTCTTTCATTTGCATGCTGAACCACTGCATTTATTTTATCGCATAAGAAAGTAAATATCTCTGACATAAATTTCTTTGGGTCTACTTCCTCAATTGTATTTCCTTTGTCATCTGCGTAATAGGTTGGAAAATCCTTAATGTTAAAGAAATGTTTAAGTTCATAGTTGGAAACAATCTCAACAAATTTCCCTTGGTGTTTATTAACCCTTAATTTGACTTTAAAAAGGCCAAAATGAGGAGCTAGTAGTTTCTCATCCCCATGAGTGATTGGAGTAATTGGGAATAGCTCAAACACAATTGGAGAGGACTGATTCATTTCAGTGTAGCATATCTCTCATTGAATAGTATGCTTTATAAATAACATCGCAAATACATTATCTATATACATTTTCTCTTTCTTTTTGTTATGAATTATGTTAGCTCTCGCTTTGAAGGTCTCAACCTTAGTCACGAGCTGCTGGTTCTCGATCTTTTTGTTCATTAATTGGAGCAGCTTTTTCTCTAACTTTTCCTTATCAATAACCTGGTTTATTATCCTAGCAACTGTTTTGAGCTTCTTCTTCTCTTGTTTAAGGAGGAAGATTAAGTTAGGGTTCTGAGTTTTACAATTTTCTATCCTTTTGATGTCACTCAAAACTGAGTTAAAAAATTTAGTATACTTGCTCTGTTCCAGTTGTTTTAATCTACTCTTTTCGTGTCTATAAATTTCAGCCAGAAGTATTTACCTGAGGATCTTGGACTCATCGATGCTGGATATTCCATATGGGCTTTTTAAGGAAACACCTTTCACATTATTATGCAGATGTCTTGTATTTGGCTTAGGGCTTTTGCAAGCACGATACATATTCTCTAAATTCCGTCTTCTATCATTATTGAACTCTCTTTCTGCCTGACTTTTCTTCCTGAGTTTTATCAAGGAGTCATCTAAGGATTTTTGCTTTGAAGGCTTAAGTGGAGTCATTGAATCTCGACTTCTTTCTGGAATGTGAGGCTGAAATATAGTGATATTATCCTTCTCTGGCTCTTTCTCATCTTCAACTTGGATATTTTCCTCATCTATATTTTCTTCATCTTCAGTAAGGAAGGAATGGGTGCTATATCTGCTTTGAGTCTTATCTGGTTTGTTTTTCTTTTTAAGCATGTTATTTAAGAGTTGTTGTCCTACGCTTAGGTCTTCTAGATTCTTGTTCATTTTCTTTACTAAACTCTGACTCTCCTTCAGTCTTATGAACAGTTTTATAAGATGTTCTAGAATTCTTAGATTCTTTTTGAAGCTTTTGGTCTTTGTATTTATTATCCGAAAATTCACTGTCATCTTCTTCAATCATCCGTTTGCGCTCTTCACTTGAAATAATTAAGCTGTCAGTGTAATTATCATTGCTCTGCAAGAGATCTTTCTTCTCCTCTTTAAAAGAGATCTTGCCTACATGTTCAGGGCCCCAACGTGTATTACTCTTCCTTCTTTTTGAAGTTTGATTGGAACTTGTCCCATCACTAATCTGCTTGAACTCCTTAGTCTTTTGCTGTCCCCAACTGATTCTTCTCTTGTGCTTCATATTCTCCTCTCTTGAAGGTGTGTTTGGTTTGAGAATACCCTTCAGGCTCCTTTCTTCATCAGAATCTTCTGCAATATCATAGTTTTGGTCTTTATATTTGTCCGCCATAATAAATTTAGTGAATTAATTAGCGGAAAAAGGGGTTTTGGGGTTTTGGGGTTTTGGGGTTTTGGGG